ACAAGCAGGAAAGAGTATCAGCATATAGAAGGTGCTCAGTGTCATCTACACAGCTACTAAACACCAGTATGGTAACACGCATAAAATTAAAGTCATGAAATAAACATTATCAACAATAGATGTAACATAAATCTCTAATGTACAAAACTGATGGGGAAACAACTAAAAAGATCAACATTGATGTCAACCAAATGCATAAAAAGTTATGTGCCATGCAGGGAATTCTGGGAAAGTCAATTTACGGTTATTCCCTGTATATATTAAGGAAACATATCGTTAACCAGGTTACGGATTTGTACTGTAGCATTTTTACAGTTTTTTACCGTTGAAATCACGGCCATTTTTTACAGTGTATCTTGTCTGACGTTCTCATCCAGGAAATTTTCTGGATGCCACTACTATCTAATGAATCCCTATTATAATGTTATTTGTTATTTTTATTCAATTATTTCTTTTCCTAATAAACTGACCTACACTATTCTTATAGCCGGGCATGCCCTTGTCTGTGAAACAGCAAGATAGCAGTGGTGGAACTAATTACAATCTCGGGTTTATTTAGTCCACTACTAAATAAAAACGTCCAAGTTTTATCCCCGAGAATGTCCCAAAAGCCTCTTACACACCCATCAACTGAGTACTTTAACTCTGGGTGGAGGAGGAGGTACACCCCTCAACTACTGTTATACGTATCAGTATCATTATAGGTGTACCGCAAAATGCACCAGCTCCACACAAATCTACCACAAAATTCTGTGAATCCACCGGCGCCTTTCATTCACGTCTGAATGAAAACCCAACCGTGTTCCGTTTCTACCCACTACTTCACAGACAATCCCTAGTCTATAATTTAAAAAAAAATCTTTCTACCTTTCTTGTTGATTGATCAATGGTGTTACCAGTAAACAAGTGCCACACGTCCTCCACCAAAACTGTAGGGGTAGTTTACAGTTTGACCCAATGACCAGTCTGGTAGATGAGAAAGAGCCGGAGTCAGAGATTTAAATAAATAAATCAAGTTTACTAAAGATAGCTTGCAGTTACATCAGCAGAAGCCAGCTGAAAACACTCGCAATGAATTCCTAGGCCACTCCCAAAAAAGGGAATGAAAGACTTGGGCTTGCGGAAGTGTCCGTTCTCATCCAGGAAATTTTCTGGGTTAAAGTTATGCGCAGTGGGTAGCAATGTTACCTCACAGCAAGAAGGTCGCTGGTTTGAGGCACAGCTGGGTCAGTTGGCGTTTCTGTGTGGAGTTTTCAAAGACGTGCTTTAGGTGAATCTTGTAGGCTAAATTGTCCGTAGTGGACGTATGTGAATGTGTGTGTATGGGTGTTTCCCAAAACATATGCTGGATAAATTGGCAGTTTATTTCACTATGGCAGCCGCAGATTAGTAAAGGTACTAAGCTGAAATAATTGACTGAAAATAAGTATAAATTTCTTATAAATAGGTTGTTCCAGTCACATACTGTACATTAAATGTTGAAATATCTATTACATTTGCTACTGCTTATATTATTTCACCATCTGTACGCCAATATAAGTAGTGAATATGAGTGTCAGTGGGTGTGGTAATGTGGGCTGGTGTGGCTACAGTGCCAGGGCTGATCTTTTTGTGCCAGTCCGCCCCTGAAGCAGGCAAAGTTGGACATTAAGTTACATGTTGAAATAAACAGACAGTAGAATGAAACTTCTGTTGATCTCAACAGGACCTCTCAGGATAAATAAGGGAAATAATATAATGAAAACAGTACATAGAGAAACCTAACAGAAGACTATGACACGGTTCTTCCTGATTGCTTTCTCTTCTTACAGCTTGAGCAAGCTCTGAAACCAGCTGAACCCTTATGAAAAGGTGATGAGATAAAGAGGGGAAAAAGAACATTAATAGCTCGTTTACAATGACTGGTACAGTATGGTACGGGTCACCTTTATCAGGCTTGCGTTTCCACCACAAAGGGTATCCTTTTTGGTGGGTGTGGTGTATGACAAAGTTTAAGTCGACGTCATGCTCACTCGAATAAATGTCTACAGTAAGGCTGTACGGGTCGTTCACATCATAATGAGCAGCACTTCTCACAAAACAGACGCTTTATACACATAAATACTTGTTTATAAATGTTTATTACTAACTTTTCTATGAACAGGAGTTGATTATAACTGCAGATCAATGACAGTGCAAAATAGGCTAACAGTTACTTTAAACGTCTGAAACTATATAAAGTAAATACATAAATGCAACATATATGAACACATACAGCCCCTTACGGTCTCCGATATATTATTAATTACAGAAAAACTACAAAGATCATACATTTAGTACTTATTTGAGTTCAAAAACACGCAATATAGCCCACAGTCAGCGCAAACCTGTCATCTGTGTCTGTAATCTTCAGAAGCACATGCAAACTCTGTTTGAAAGTCATTTTGTCATTCCCAGTTCATAATAGTCCAAAAGGTGAAGATAATCATGGCAGTTTGCCGGCAGCTAGCTCTCTGCAACTCTCACATGGTCGCCCACTGAAGCTAAGCAGGGCTGCGCCCGGTCAGTACCTGGATGGGAGACCACATGGGAAAGCAAGGTTGCTGCCGGAAGTGGTGTTAGTGAGGCCAGCAGGGGGTGCCCAACCTGCGGTCTGTGTGGGTTCTAATGCTCCAGTATAGTGACGGGGACTCTATACTGCTCAGTGAGCGCCGTCTTTCGGATGAGACGTTAAACCGAGGTCCCGACTCTCTGTGGTTGTTAAAAATCCCAGGATGTCCTTTGAAAAAAGAGTAGGGGTTTAACCCCGGCATCCTGGTCAAATCTGCCCACTGGCCTTTGTCGATCATGGTCTCCTAACCATCCCCATATTCCAATTGGCTTCATCGCTGTCTCCTCTCCACCAATCAGCTGGTGTGTGATGTGTGGTCTGGTGCAAAATGGCTGCCGTCGCGTCAGTGTGGATGCTGCACACTGGTGGTTGATGAGGAGATCCCCCCATTGTGTGTAAAGCGCTTTGAGTGCCCAGAAAAGCGCTATATAAATTTAAGGAATTATTATTATTATTATTTAGTTTGTTCATGATTCAGGTTGTTAAACACTTTTGCTCCTGTGTTTTGCCGGGTGTCTCCTTTTTTCCCTTGCTTGCCCTTTTCTTTCTGAATGGATCAGATGACGGAGACACTTCAACAATCACGTAACGTTACACGTTATTATCATCAGCTCAAGAAGTTTGTTATATTAAATATAGACACGATCGCGCGCTCGTGGAAGAAATCGAATACCGCTCGTACTTTTAGACAGGCTCGTAAAGCAACAACAGGACGCGGCAGATTTTGTTCTTCTTTGCATTGTGTCTGTTGATCAAGACGTCGACACAGTTTGTTTGAGCCCGGGTCATCCATGGCTGGTTATTTTATGCATATAGTAACGTTATATCCATGTAATCTCTCAGCTTTGTATTAGAACATGGCGGATCCTTTGTTTACATTCTGTCTAGCTCCACGAGCTCGTGACGTATCTCTGTAACCAATCAGCATTCGGCTGCGTGTGTAGCTCCACCTTTTGGTACCCTTTCTCATTTTTGGGACCCTTTCGAAAGGGTGCCGAAAAAGTGGTATAGTATGGTTTGGTTCGGTACGCTTAATGACAGTGGAAATGGCCATAACATACAGTATTGTCCTCAAGCCATGGCTGGACAGGGGTACATAGATTGTACATTAAAATACACCAATGTCTTTATTGAGTTCATCACCACTACAAGGTTGAGATCATAAACTAATGCCAAACATGACGAAACGTAAAAAGTTATGTATGAACTCTACCTCACCAGGACATTATCAAACATTATCAGATTCAATCAGCCTCTCCAGCCGTTGGTTTATCAATGAGCTCAATAGTTCAATATTTTAAACATGGCGGTTCTTTTGTTTTCATTCTGGCTTGTTGCGTAAGCGAATGACGTATCTCTATAAACCAAAAGCGTTCAGCTGCACGTTTAGCTCCTCCTTGTGGGGGGGTGTTGGGTAGCGGTGGTGGTGATGGTGAGCTGCGCGCGACATACCTTAAAGCCTGGTTTATACTTCTGCATCAAGTGATCGGCGTGACCCACGGCGCATGCAACATGCGTAGCTGTGCATTTATAGCTGTGAGGTGTTAATGTTCCTCTGTGTCGAGTTTCTTCGCTGGTGTTTTGTTTTTTTTGTGGCACAAGTGGCTCAAACTTGCTCATTTTGAGGCAATAACTTTAACCATGAGGTAAAACACAAAACAAAACTTTCCATCTGGAGCTCCTTCATGCCACTTCACACTTGTAAACAATCGCTCCATCAGGCTCATGCGGCTCTCTGTCCTGCCCAGACTCGTCAGCGCTACCAATATGTGCTACACATCGTTGCAACATGTAGTTCAATTTTTTGAGAGGTGTGCATCAGCGACACTGACGGCGCAGGGCTATGCATCAATGCGTAGGCTGTGGCGTAGCATATGCATGCGCTTGATGCAGAAGTATATATCAGCCTTAAGAGTGGTGGGAGTGAGGTGCGTGCGACATACCTGAAGAGCTGGGAGGGATGCGATGGAGAGGCATGTGCGACATATTTAAAAACCGGGCAGGAGACGCGCGATTTCCTGGATATTATCATTCATTTGCTGGCATTTGGGAGTCTATGCATTTGCGGGAGACTCCCGGAACGTCCGGGAGACTTGGGATGTCTGCTGATATATGAAAAAAGGCAGACAGTGGCTTCTACTTCCTCAGCAAAAAAATGGTCCGAATATTTTTCATTTTTTGAGTGAACTATCCATTTAAACTGAATTAATTGGAAAAGAATGATGATCAAAATAGACACATTCAGATCAACAGACACTTTTAGATGATTGTAAATGTTTAGCAGAAGCTCCTTTAGAGATATTCCTTTCCTTGCGTTCATCGCCATTAATAATTCAAAGACAATAATAGTTAATAATGACAATAATAGTAATCGGCCATTGATAGTCAAAGTCAAAAACAATCCACAGAACACTTCAAATGAAAAGGTTTAATAACAATATTTTGCAACGGTTACGACTGAATTAGATACAAAATAAACGAAGTGAAAAAACAACATGATAATATTAATTCTACTTTAATTAATATGAGAAAAGGACGAATCATTTCCTTGACCATGTGACCTTTATTATCAGAATGATATAGATGAGCCAAAGTGCTCTTGGGTGTCTCAACGGCTGTGCTTTCATTGTTTTTCCTCTATATGTGATGACGTGATATGTTTCGGGTCATTCTTTGGTGTCTCTACTGCAGCAGATAAAGCTAAAATTTTGAGGATAGCGCAACACACTCAAGATTCCATCCATGTCCATGGGCTTTGCATCAGGTGGCAAGGAGAAACGAATCCTCTGTAGGAGAGCCGTGATGAACAAGAAGAGCTCCGTCCTTGCCAGTGTCTCACCCAGACAGACCCTCACCCCTGATGAGCAAACACTCAAATTAATCCAGCAACTTTTGCTTGTGCTCGAGGGGCTATTTATAAGTTTTCAGCCCAAAATGGTGATATCATGCACATACATAGTTTGTGTTGGGTATGTAGACGTGCAGCACATATCGAGTCTAAAGGCAAGCATGAACAAAAACAGCAATGGCAGAGTTCATAGTAGTGCTGATGCTACTCAAGCTAATTCAGCAAAGTGTAGATTTACTTCACCCACATTACAACAAACAAAATACAGTGCACACTGCAAATTCCAAATAGACACTTGTGCAGGGGAGGGCAAACTTGATCCTCAAGGGCCGGTGTCCCTGCAGAGTTTTGTTCCAACACTAGTAAAACACACCTGAACAAGCTAATCAGTGTCCTCAAGATCACTAGAATCGGTCCCACTTTATATTAAGTGGCCTTAACTAATATGTACTTGCACAGGAATTAATAGTTTGTTACAATGTACTTATTGTGTAAATACATGTATTTACTGTGTACTTATGCTTGATTAAATACCTGTATGTAATTACATCTGTAATTAACTTCTGTAATTACATTTGTAAATACACTGCTGACCATTCCCTACACCTTAACCCACCCTTAAACCTACCCATACCACCAAACCTGTCCATAACCCAACCTCTATCCCAACTCAAGAGCACCACAAGTGTTCTCAAATACATTATGAACACAGTAAGTACATTGTATTTATTTTTTGATGCAACTACATAGTAGTTAAGGACACTTAATATAAAGTGGGACCCTAGAATCTATAAGCAGGTATGTTTGATTAGAGTAGGAGCTAAACTGTGCAGGACACTGGCCCTCCAGGACCGAGTTTGCCCACCCCTGCACTAGTGTCTAATGCATGTCTATGTATTCTATGTCTTGGATTAGATTATTGAACTCATGTATCAATGTTGTGTACACATAAAAACTTTGCGTACGCCAGGTTATATGCTTACGTTTAGATTTACTAACGATGAAATTAACGTGAGAATGTGCGTTGGTCCATGCCAACTTCATGTCTGCCACACGTGTATTTCTTGTGTGTGTTTGTTTTATTTCCATTGGCAACTTCTAGAGGCAATTATGTTAAATTGCACACTACAAAGTATCGCACCAACACAAGTGAAAAAACATAGCTATTCATTTATAATTGATAAAACGAGTAAACTGACACAATTTTTTGGACCAATTGTGTGATTTAGAACATATAAAAGCATTTGCAAATGTATACAACCCTTAGTCTATGGCAGTTGGAGTGTTGGCCTTATTAGAGGACATTGTCAATGGTCGAATGCGAAGGGAAAGCATTTTTTAGGGATCATAGTGATTGTCTGGTCCATGATGATGACTGGGTTATTATCCGTTTCAAATTTCCAAGAGCTATCCTCTTTGAGCTCTGTGCTGAGTTGGGTCCAAATTTGGAAGGAGAGACAGCGAGGAGGCTCCAAGGTGGCAGGGCGTAATTATTTAACTGCATATAAGGAGACCGTGGTTATTAACCCTAAAGAAGTGGCTGTTAACCCTCCTCAACAACCCACAAACTGACCAAGAGCCCAGATACAATGATGCCCATTCTCGCACTCGGTAAGTTGTAGATCGGGAGATTGGGCAGCTGAAATGCGGGTGGTGCTGCCTTGATAAGAGCGGAGGGGTGCTGCTATATTGCCCTAACAAACTGTTCCTCTAATACAGAAGCCACAGCCATATCACCCTGCAGCCCAAGACCGGCTACTCACTGAAGCTAAGCAGACCTGAGCCTGGTCAGTACCTGGATGGGAGGCCATTAGGGAACACTAGGTTGCTGTCGGAAGGGGTGTTGGTGAGGCCAGCAGGGGCGCTCAACCTGTGGTCTGTGTCCTAATGCCCCAGTAAAAGTGAAGGGGACATCATACTGTCAGTGGGCGCCGTCTTTCAGATGAGACGTTAAACCGAGGTCCTTACTCTCTGTGGTCATTAAAAATCCCATGGCACTTCTCGTGAAAGAGCAGGGGTGTAACCCCAGTGTCCTGGCCAAAGTCCCTCTATCGGCCCTTACGATTATGGCCTCCCATTCATCCCCTTCCACCGAATTGGCTCTATCACTGTCTCTCCACTCCACTAATAGCTGGTGTGTGGTGACAGCACTGGCGCCGTTGTCCTGTGGCTGCAGTCGGATCATCCAAGTGGATGCTGCACACTGGTGGTGGTTGTGTGGACCGTACCCAAGTTCGATTGTTCCCCCTTGCCACCTCCTCAAGATGTGGGTGGTTGGGGTGGGGGGGTTTGTGTCCTAGTAGGTTGAAAACCCCTAAACTATGGGCTACAGGGCAGACTCTGCTCTTCTTCTTGGCTTTGTGGCTGTTCATCAAGACGACGACAAGGTTTGTTTGAGCTCGGGTCGACCATGACTTGTTATTATATGTCCCTGCTGTAAAATCCAGCTTAAACCAGCCTAGGCTGGTTGGCTGGTTTTAGCTGGTTGACCAGCCTGGTTTTAGAGGGGTTTTGGCCATTTCCAGGCTGGTTTCCAGTCATTTCCAGCCTGGTCTTAGCTGGTCAGGCTGGAAAATGACCAGCCAAATCCAGCTAAAACCAGCTTGACCAGCCTGGTTTAAGCTGGATATAGCTGGTTTTGGCTGGACTCCCAGCTTGGCTAGGCTGGTCAAGCTGGTTTTAGCTGATCATCTCCCAGCCTGACCAGCTAAGATCAGGCTGGAAATAGCTGGAAACCAGCCTGGAAGTGGCCAAAACCCCTCTAAAACCAGCTTGGTCGACCAGCTTAAACCAGCCAACCAGCCTAGGCTGGTTGAAGCTGGATTTTTCAGCAGGGTATATATTATTGCGATGTAATGTCTCGGCTGTGTTTTTAAAATCTAAATCCTTTTATTTTATGCTGCTGCTTTTGTAAGCTCTGGTGACGTGTCTCTGTAAACCAATAGCATTCAGCTGCGCATGTAGCTCCACCTAGGAATTTGGACATTCTATAGCCGCCATTTTGTAATGGTCACGCTGGAAGTAGTAAGTCATCCGGGTACTTCTCGCATACTGATTGTCAAATTGTATGAATTCGGACATACTACTCTGATTGCATACTGATTTTAGTGTACTATGAAGTATAGAAGTATGCGGTTTCGGACACAGCCCTAGATTACACGTGGGATAACTGGTGAATGGTGAGTTAGCTAACAGCCACTTATGCCGTACTCACACTAGGTACAGTTGCCTCGAACCGGGCCAAAGCCGCTTGTTCCCCCTCCCGTCTCCCCCGACGGCCCGCGCTCACACCACAGACAGGCTTCGGCGCGCTTACGTCATCGCTGCTGCGCTGTTCAGTGAGAAGCGCTCTCTCACTCAGCAGCACAGTGGAGATTTCTCTAGTTATATCGTTTCAGTCAATTGATATGCCGTCAAGTATTTCGCCAAACAGTCCTTAGGGATGCGATGACACGCAGTCAAGTATTTCTCCGAACAGATCCGCCACTTTTGGCGCTCATAAACAATCATAAAGCTCTCGTGCTGCAGGGATGAGGAGGTCTGCTGAAGCCGCGCAGCTGTCGTGCAGTGAGGGGTTTGCGTCTTAACAGTCCCTCAAAGTCACGTCTCGCTTTCAAAGCCCAAGTGAACCGCGCTCACACTTCTCAAACGATCCAGGAAACGGGCCTGGGCACGGTACGGATGGCATAGTGTGAGTAGGCTCTTACATTGTTTACAATGTTTTTCATTTTTGACTACACCACTGTCATGTAAATGTAACTTAAATCTGTAAAATAAAATGATTAATAAATAAATCTGTTAAAATTACTTTCACAAACCGCTGACTCACCCAGGGAAAATGGAATGAAAGACTCATGCTTGCTGAATTGTCCGCTCTCATCCAGGAAATTCTCTGGGTTAAATGTGTCGGGATGCTTCCAGTTTTCCTTATTGCTGAAAATTGCTGTGAGGTTTACTATGATTGTAGTTCCCTGTATGAGGAAAGTTTAACAGAGTTGAGTCAAGAGAATTGCTTCGTTTTGAAAGGTACAATATAAACGCAGAAAGCCAGAGGAGGTGTGGGTTTTTACTATTCATTAAATAGCTTCATTCACTCAAGCTCCATTCATTACCCGAGGAAGGTCGTATCCTTGTAGTTTTGTGGGCTGAATTGTTTCATGAATCAACCCAAAAGGTGCAAGGTTCGCACATCGCTGAATCTCGTGAACAGTGGCGAGTGTGTACGGTAGTCTGTCACGGTCTTCCATACTGGGCAAGCGGTCATAACCCAGAACCTGAACAATCTCCTTATGGCATCTCTCTGTGTTGTGAGACAAATGTTTAGGGGGAAAAAGTTAGGACTTTGTAAGTGCAAATGTGCTCCTAATGTTTGTTTTATTGTGAACCGAATAACATTCTCTGTAGACTCTTTTTCTGCAACCAAAAATTTAAATTTCCATAAAGTTACAGGGAGGGTTTTGTGATAACCTAAATGAGAATGTTCTGAATACGTACTTCTAACCTAGAAGAAACATTCCTCTTAGACGCTGGTCTAAATTAGCATCTAAGCTAAAACAAATGATCATGACATCCCTTAGCTAATATGTTCAGACAACTGTGGTGAAACCTAAAGTAAGATTTTTAGCTAAGTGTAACAACTTAGACAGAATCCAGTCATTAAAATGAATCTTGTCTGCAGTTTATGGTTTGCTTTAGTACCTTGTACGTCTGGGTTTTGTATTAAGAAGAGGAGTCCCCATCTGAAAGTGGTCGCTGTGCTGTCAGATCCAGCCACAAACAGGTCAGTTGTTGAACCAATCAGGTTTTCATCATGAAAAGTGGAGTCTTTGTTGGACTTTTGCTGTTTCAGATAGAACAAAGCTGTCAGTTTACAGTAACTACAATTAAATTAATACATATAAGAAGAAGCCTTCTTTCATGATCTCACTTTCTCCATCTCCAGCAGATAGGCATCGATGTAGTCTCGTGGACTGCCTGGATCCAGAGTTTTTTTGTGTTCTTTAACTTCATGTTGAAAAAAACCTGATAACTCATCGGCGTTCTTCTTGATCTTCTGGTGTGGACCAGGGAAATGCTTGATAATGGGGGCGAAGTTGAAAATCTAAGACAGATAAAGCATTATGAGGTAACAGGCCTGTTGTATTCCAAGTTTTGATTTCCCACCACACATTTGTGGTTTATTGTTAGTGTAAGTAAATGTTTTAACTTGCAGTTAGGATACTCATGTCATCTTCCATTTTGTGTTTTAATTCAGGGGTTTTCAAACTGTGGGTCACACAGTAAACAAAGGTGGGTCACGCAACGTCACTTAGCTGACTGGAGCTATTTTTACATTGCGGTGAATCAAAACCAGTACGATTGACGGCAATAACTCAAAAACGTCTTACCCTAAAAATATCTAAAGTGTGTTTCCTACAAAAAGACAAAACTGGTTTTGGCCGGGAGAGCTCGCACAGAGCGGAGCTCTCAGTAAGGGACCGTCGGAAAAGTGCTTTTTTTTTTTTTGCTCCGTCCTGCATGTTTTATTTTAAACACTACTAATTTTCTCTTGAGTGAAGTTTATGTATAAACAAATTTCGAGAGGATCACATGCTTATGATTGCTAGCGGCTGGATCCGCATTATCTAATTAACTACGCTCCAATCAGATGACTCCTAAACTACTATAAATACCCTAGGGTTAGTTCCACTGCTATCTTCGTTTTGAAGAGTCCCCCCTTCCTCCCCTACTCCTCCTTCTTAGACGGGTGACACGGTGGCCCAGTACGTAGCACTGTCGCCTCACAGCAAGAATGTCTCTGGTTCCTGGCTTTACCAAACTAGCAGACATTTCTGTGTGGAGTTTGCACTTCTCCCCATGCTCATGTGGGTTCCCCCCCGGGTTCCCCAGTTTCCTCCCACCGCCTAAAAACATGCAATTAAGTCAATTGAACAATCCAAATTGGCAACATAGACACGCTTCTAGTACGTAGTTAAATTC